CCCCAAAACCCCAAAACCCCAAAACCCCACCAATTGATATTAACATTCAATATTGGCGCAAATTTATATTGATAAAAATAATCTATATACTAGAAATTTAAATGACAAGTACAGAGAAAGAACAGATATAAATACAGATGGATGGCATAAAATTAAAAGCTGATTGCAGCAGTTAGCTAGTTAGACATTTTTCTCAGGATAGCGAGCTTTTTCAATATATTGCTGATAACTCTTGGGTTCTTGGAGAAGATAGAATGATGATAGAAGAAAATGAATGTTCTAATTAAGTCATAGAAGATATCCAAGAATTTTTAAGCAAAAATAAAGATTAGGGTTAATAATAAAAACAAATCTCTGGAGTTGACTCATAAAAATTAATATTAAATATGAATAATGAACTGAAATCACAGAGTATAGATCAAGAAATGCTTGAGGGAGCCCTTAAATCAGATATTGATAGAGACTTAGAGGTTAAAGACAATAACTAATAGATGATTATTTAGGAAATTAAAGTGTCTAATATATCTAATGACAATGATTATTTTGACTATAATTCTTATCAGAATAATTACAATCTATAAAGTATTACCGGTTGTCAACAAATAAAGGAAAAGAATGTATAGAATATAAGGTTAGACACTAAGCCCGTTTTACATTATGTCGCTCATAAAGCGGGAATGGATTCCATAGATTAAGAGAAAATTAATTCTGCAATAATGGAAGCATCTGAAGGATCTTCTTACTTCAAGAAAGAGATATAAAGAACAGAATAAGCTAAGTAAAAAGCTATTGCTTTTAAGAAAAAGATTTAAACTTATGAAAAAAATCCTAAACTTTTGAAAGAGGCTGTTTCTAACTCACAAAGATTTATTAATGAGATCGAAAGGGAGAGATGCCTTAATAGAACTTGGATTCATGTAGATATGGATATGTTTTTTGCAGCTGTGGAAATCAGAGATAGACCAGAGTTAGCAGAAAGACCTGTGGCGATTGGAAGTTTTAGTATGGTATCAACAGCGAATTATGTTGCTAGAAAGTTTGGTGTAAGGTCTGCTATGCCAGGGTTTATTGCAAAGAAACTGTGTCCTCAACTCACATTCATACCAAATGATCAGTCAAAATATAGAAAAGTTTCAAAGGTATTTAAGCAGATCCTATAGAATTATGATCCATAGTTCGAATCATTAGGGTTAGATGAAGCCAACTTAGACTTAACAGATTTCCTTATTAGCTAAAACATAGACAATGAAGAAGGAAGATAGAAGGTAGTCAAAGAGATTCGAGATCAAATATATGTAGAAACTCGTCTAACATGCAGTGCTGGAATATCATGCAATAGAATGCTGGCCAAGATATGCTGTGATATAAACAAGCCGAACGGTCAATATTATCTAAAGCCTGATAAAGAGACTATTATGAATTTCGTTAATAATCTTCCAGTGAGGAAGATTCCAGGTATTGGAAGAATGACAGAACTGGTTTTATCTCAGCTAGGAGTCTTCAAGTGTTAAGACATCCTAGCAAAAGCATATGAAATCCAAATTTTTTTTAAACCTCGTACTACGAATTTTCTATTAAGAGTAGCTCTAGGAATTTCAAGAAATTATCACGAAGAAGAAGATGATGATTGCCAAAAATCTATAGGTATAAGTGAGACATTTAGGCCAATAACTTAGCTATAGCAATTCAAAGAAAAAATATCATAAATCTGTGAATAACTAGCTGATAAAGTTGACAAAAGAAAACTTGCAGGGTTAAACATAAGTTTAGAAATTAAGACCACTGAATACAACGTAAATTCAAAATCTCTGACACTTAAAAGTTATATTTGGAGTCAGGAAGATCTCATTAATTATTCTTTTTAGCTTTTAGAGACAATGTGGCCGGTAATATTTTACTTATTTAAAATTATATTAGAGTAAACCTGCACGACTTCTAGGTGTTAAGCTATATAATCTGAAAAACCAGCAAGAAGTAAAAAAGGATAAAAGTTTGAAATCTTTTTTCAGCCAAAAGTTGTCAAAAGAGGATCATCTAAAGCTTAATGAATAAAATTTAAAGAAAATAGAAATTTCACCCAAAAAATTAGATACCCCTTAACCCTCAAATATCACAAGAGATGGCAGCAATCAAATGAATCAAATAATTAATTTAGAAAAGCAAAGGAAAAGAGTGTAAAATTAGAAAGTGAAATAATTGAGAAACTAAGAAAAAGTTGTCAAAAATTAGATAAAAGAAATGATTAAATAAATGAAGGGAACATCTCCTGAGTAAAATGTTAGTAAAGCTTTTGTAATTAATGAAGATTAACTTGGATTAATATTCGATGAGAATTCTAATCTTTAGGATTTAAATTAGGTAGTTTCAACCTTAATTAAATAGTCAAAAATTAATGCCTAGATTGATTAAAATTCTTTGAAAATCAAGAAAAAAAGAGGGAGAAAACCTAAAAATTTAATTACCTCAAATAATACCAAGAAGCTTGATAGCTTTTTTAAGAAATGATAATTATTGAACTTTGATTTATATTTGTAAAATTGATGAATATTTTCGTTATGGGGTTTTGGGGTTTTGGGG